CTCGTAGATGATGATAAATAACATAGTTATGTATAATATATTACATTTCTGACTGTATATCCCTGTAATTATTACACACTGTAGCTTTAATGTAACAGATAAGTTTCCGTTACAGATCTATAGCAGATCCAGTTCTTGTAACAGATTCGGTTCCTGCTACAGATTCAGTTCTGTCCAGTTTTTCCACAAATCCAAAAAGTCAAATCCAGATTCCGATCTCAGCTCTTCTTGCTTTTAAAAAAAGGAACAAACAGGATGTGCTTCTTTAGACAGACATGCATTCATTGGGGAACAGGAAGTTGTGCATCTGTTTGTTGCTGAGCAGTATTTCCTGGTTCTAACTCGCTTTATGCTAACAGCAGGTCAAAGGTCAGACCGAACAGATTAGGTCTACATCCTTCTCTGTTCACATTTCAATGAATTACTTTACCACAGAATATATATATAGCTTAAATAATTGAACATGTTCTGGAATGTGACGCCATAAACCATCAAACTGCGGTTAAAGTGGTGAACACCTTGACTGAAGGCTGACAGGTGAGTCACAGCCTGTCGACCTTCGCTTCCCTTCTCTCTAGTCTCATTTCCAGTCCGCCGACCGTCAGAAAGATCACAAATAAAGGACACTGGTGCCAAAACCAGAAGAATAAATCTAGTAAATACCAGATTTCTGAGTGTAAATGAACCTGAAAGGTTAGAGATGATGTTCCTGCAGAGGCGCACCATCCACCATGACAGGCCGCCATTTTCTCCATCGCCTCTTTATTCCCTCAATCCCAGAAGGTTAACACTCTTTTATCTAAAAGGTTATTTCTAATTTAGGGAAATCATTTAATTCCTTGGATTATGAATCAATTTGAACTCAAACTAATTTCTCTAAATTAGTTTTAAAGCTAATTTGGTCCCATTTGGTTCTCGGTCATAAACCTGCTGCTGGGCCGTGACCATTGCATCATTTAATGGTCGTTTCTTTCATCTGGACCCAGAAGTCCGTTTAGTTTGGTCTGTTTGACTTGGAGCTAAAAGATTTTTGTTAATAAATTATTTTCTTTTGAATGAAAGTTGAAATGATTCAGAGTTGAATAATTAGCTCCATTCATATTTACGTCCTTTGTCTAAATGAAAGTCATAAGATTCACTGAAATAAACGTGAGATTCAGCTAAAGTTCAGGTCCAGTACCCCCCATCCCCCCCCATCCCCCCGCAGGAGCTTCACCTCATCCTGGTCTCTCCAGAACCAGCAACCTTCCAGAACCTGAGAACCGTCCAGGATCTACAGACGGGAGCGAGACGCCGTTCTGGCTTTGGTCAACAGGGACTGATGGGTCCCTGAAAACGCCCCACATCCCTGAAGCTCCGCCCACAAAGCTCCTGGAGGAGCAAATGGGGAGTTTCCTGTAGATCCAGGACCATCTGTGCGTTTAAGTTCCAGGTTCTGGAAGCAGCCGGTCCAAAACGAAGCTACATTCAGATGGAATAAGCTGCTGCTGCTTTAACCAAGTTCTGCCTGGATCCAGTCTGGATGGACCCGGTTCTGGTGGAGGAGCTTAACGAGCAGCTTCCATCCCCTCAGAGGGAAACACCGAGGCGATGAGGAATGTTCTCTGTCAGAGCAGCATCCATGGCAACGGGAGCTACGGCGACGCTCCTGCGGCCCGCGGTCACAGAGACGTCTCTCTGGTGAAGCTGAGGGAAGGCGCCAGCTGGACTCCGTTGGTTTTGGTCTCTGCAGGACAGCCGCCGGGCCCCCCCGAGGGAAGCTGTGGGACGGAGGGACAGGATTAGGCTGGGAGCGGCCACCAGGGGGCAGCAGCCACCAGAGGGCAGCGGCCACCAGGGGGCAGCGGCCACCAGGGGGCAGCAGCCACCAGAGGGCAGCGGCCACCAGGGGGCAGCGGCCACCAGGGGGCAGCAGCCAAACAGCAGCGGCCAGTTTGACATCAAGTTGAATCAACATCAGTCGGCTGGTTGGATAAAAGCTAAATTTATTTACATTTTATAAATCTATTAATAAATTAAATTCTACTTTTTAACATTTCAACCTTTTTGTGTTCAAAGCAAGTTTAGTAAAACCGTCCTGGAAGGCAGGAAATAAGCCTTTCTGTTAACACGGAGTTCTTTAAGGAGGACTGGAGTTAAGGTGGATCTCATGGTTCTCACGCCTGTCCTTTCCATCATGGAGCTGACTGCTGCTGCTGGGAGGACAGACCTGCATCATCGGGCGAGAGGCGGGCCGACAGAGCGGCCATCTTAGGTCAGACCAGGCTGCTTCAATGGAGGCTAATCCTACCGATGAACTCTTTACCGAATCCCAGATAAACTGGTTGAATGAAGGTGAGAACTTTTCAGGGGTTAAATGAGACCAACTGGTTGATCTGATTTTCTAATTTAAGACTGAAATAATTAATCTGATTAAACAATTATTGAAATAATCACTAAATATTGTAGTAGTGGAGTATAGAGACTCTAAAACATGCCTTTAACTGAGCGACCCACTTAGAGCGGGGATTATACCAAGATTAAAAATGAAAAAAAAAATAAATAAATAAATATATATATACATTTTTTTTTTATTTAAGATGAAAAAAATCTGTAATCTGTAAATCTGCTCTATCCTGAACTCCTCAAGTAAAAAATGTTTTAGTTTCATCTGGTTTGATTTAGTAAAAATGTTCTTTAAGAAACCTTTGGCTATCGATTAATCTGATCAGATTAATCGATTAATAATTATTAGTCTAAGCCCTAAATTTCCTGTATTTTAATCATGTAAAGCACTTTGCATTGTCTTTGTACTGAATTGTGCTATACAAATAAATTTGCCTTGCCTTGCCCTAAATGAAAAACATTCTTTTGATTTATATTGACTGCTATCAAACGTCCAGATTTCCTCTCAGGACGCTCTATGGCTGCACAGATAAAATGAGATTACAAACCAGATCCAGTGGGATTAACTTTGATTAGTAGGAACTATTGCAGATTATCTTCCTGTTTCACCGCTACGGTTTTTCTGGTGTTTAAAGAAGATGATGAAGATTCTCTTTTATAAATCACATTAGTTTCCTCTATAGATCATAATACTCATTAATAAAGAACAATCCTTTATAATACTGAATAATAAATATAAAATATGTATATAATGTTATAATATATTCATATAAAACTTTGTGTTTATTATATTCACATTTAATTGTTGCATATATCTAATCCAGTTTGAATTAAGTTTAAAACGTTTTTAATGTGAATAAAACTGTAATCTGACTGAAAGGAAATTTTTAAATTTGTTTTGTTCTTTTAAGGAGTTTTTTTTACATGTTAGAGATTATAGAAATATTTTCTCTGACTCTCTAAGGCGCCTCCTGTTCATTCTGCCTGCAGCTGAACTGTGGTCTGACCCAAGATGGCCGCCCTCCAGGCAGCGTCCAATGAGGCGTCTATGTACTAATGTCTGTGAGTGGGATTAGAATGGTGGGCGGGGCTTAGGGGGGGCTTTCTGTTGCGGTAATAATTGAAAAACGTTGAAAAAGAACATAATAAAAAAAGTTTAACATATTTTTCAGGTTTTAGTGACGAGAAGAATATTAAACTGAAGCTCATTTATCAGACCATCGATTTCACAAACGGATCATTAAATTAATAAATAAAGCTAAATCAGCTGAGGTAAAAACACAAATGTTATTAACTGAATCCATTATTATTATTATACTTCCTATTATCTATTATAGAAGCTGCATTTCAGCAGAATTCACAGTAAAATCTACAGATTATAGATTATAGATTAACGTTTAAGGTTTTCTTTCCAAACCTGCTGACTTTATAAATCATGTGACGTCATGTTTTCTCTGTTAAATCACTAAACTACCACATTTAAAGTCTCATTATTTAACATTTAACGTGATACAGAAACACTAGAGGTGTGAATGAGCACCAGGAGCCAGAATAATAGTGAGCAAATAGTGACAAACATCAGCAACATGTTGTTAAAATAATGTTTCTAAAACCGTCGATATTTCAAAACTGAATCCATGAGTTAAAAACTAAATGTAACGTTTAACGTTGTTTTGATGTTTTTCTCAAACGGGCATTTTTTTAACAGCTTTTAAAGGTTTAATGTCAGTCGGACGGCAGCAGGAAGAGCTGAAGGTTCCCAGAGGGACCAGAGAGGCGCCTCCGTCTCAGCAGCAGATTTACGGAGCAGCGGCTTTCAGACGGGCAGAGAAAAGAAACCGTCTGCTTCTTTATTTACGGGTTTTCTTTAAAGGTCAGATTCCATCTACTCGCCGTCTGCAGGGCCTTAAATCAGACCAGAAACACGCAGAGTTTCATTAAGGTTTAAAGAAGTCTGAAAGCTTCTGAAACTGAAGGAAATGTTTTAATTTCCCTGAAGAACAAAAGGATTTTACAGTAAGGCGGCGGCCATGTTGGAACAGACCCACAACAAGTTCTGCTTCAAAGATGATGAGAATTATTCATTCGCTATATTTCAATACTAAATTCAAATCCTAAATTACAAAATACCTTTAATGAGAAAATTGTTGGACTGATAAATAAACATCTGATCCAAACAGGTTTTATTTTATTACTGTAAATAAAAAGTTGTGCTTTAAATATCCTTTTAATGACCAATAAAAACATTCTAAGGCTGCAGGATGTGGCTAAAAATCAAAGATTGTTTAAGAATTAAGAATATAATATTTTTAATGATAATTTAACATATAAAATATAATCTAATAGAAAGAAAACTGCATCGACAAATAAAAGAAGGTTTTTTTTATGTTTTAGTAGTGAATGAAATGTTTTAGTAGTGAATGAGCATAAAAATCCTCAAGCTTCAGCTTCTTCTAACGGCGTTCGACCGGCCGCCACTCGCAACATGGCGGCTGGCTTTCAGGACCTGAGAGCAGCAGCGGCCGCACGGCGCCTCGGCAGAGGTTCAGTACTCACCGGCCGGCCCTCCGTCGCCATGTTGACGTTGTGCCGCTTCAGGTCAGACTTGATCAAAGCTGCGACACAAAGCAGAAGGAAAGATCTCAGTTCCTGTTCTCTGCAGCTGCTGGAAGCATCAGCTGTCCTCCTGCCTACCAGTGAGAACCACTCCCACCAAGATCCAGGCGGACAGGAAAAGGTTCCCAGCCAGCGGATCAAAGTCTGTGGTCAGTCTGCCCTGAATCAGGGTGAAGATGATGCCGAAGATCTGCAACAACAACCAGAGCAAAGCCGACGGTCAGAGCTTCAGGTCCAGAGGACCTGCAGAAGGCCGCTGACCTTCCCAGCTTCATGGTACCTGAGCGAAAGCATTGAGGAGCCCTGAAGACGTTCCCTCAGACTCTGGATACGTGATCTCCACTCCGAACTCAAAGCCCAGAGGAAGGTAACCCGTCATGAAGAACCTAGAAGTTGGAGAACAAAAGATTTTCACTGCTTAACCTTAAACTGATAAAAGCTGTGAATCATCTGGACCTTCAGGATGTGACTGAAGTCCTTCTGACATCAGTCAATTAGTCGGTTCTCCTGCAGGGGTTAGATGTTTCCTACTCCTCTGAATGAGGCCTGTTAAAGCAGGAACCTTCTACACCCTGCAGGAAGATCCTCATGTTAGCTGATCAGGGTTTGCTGACGTCAGCAGCAGGTTTGTTTGGACCTAAAACACCAAGAGGTCACCTCAGTCTCCTCACTGTTTGTTTGGACTCCAGAACCTGAATGTTCACCCTGAAGGTCACAGATCACATGATCAGCAGCGTTCTCGTACCCGAGGACTCCAGCAGTGAAGAAGACCAAGTAGATGTTGTCCAGGTTCAGGGTGAAGGTGAAGATCAGCATCCCGAGAAAGGAGAGGATGTAAACGATCAGAGTGGTGATCCTGGAACGACAAGGAGAAAGGATGGATGGATGGATGGATGGATGGATGGATGGATG